AAAAACTGTCTCCACAGGACAGCATAGATTGAAGATCACGTTAGCTGTTTCTGTAAAATGCTCAACAGAACAGGGGAACTGTTGAACGGAAAACTATGAGGAGATAAAAGCAAGAGATTTTCTCAGGAGATGGAGTCTGTCGGCTGCAAGGTTCCAAATTCTGATGTTCATTGGTTTTGTTTGAATGAAAGCGGGGTATGCTAGGCGAGAGAAAACTTTTGGTCTAAGACATAACAAACAGTGGTCACTGGACGAAATTGGCGCCTTCAGTTTGAAAGAGAAGATATTAGGGTGATTAGTAATAAGCTTGTCCAAAATAACATTTCCTCTGGTGGCTGTTCGAGAGAGAGAGTTCCGATAAACCGAAAGAAAGTAATGGTTGGGTTGATCCGTGCTTAAACTCATCGACAATTAAAATTAAATTATCGTCCACTAAGGGAGCAATGAAAGGTTATATATGTACTGGACCTTATCCATCTGAGAGTGATCGTGTCGGGGTTTGACCGATACCCTTCAGTAAGATTCGCAGTTCGAATCCAGTTTTGGTCATACGCATCACTTTCAATCCCACGAATGAGTTCGCGGTTGCTGTAATCCTCATCAATCCCTCTAATAAAATCCTTTTTTGTAGGTAGAAACATGGTGTGGTTTGATTATCAAATTTAACGAACAATAACGTTCCTTGACCTACCACGTCCGCATACACTTTTTAGGTAAGCCTTCACACCCGGGGGGGGGGGGGGGAGAGGTGACTGTTAGTGATAAATACCGTCACATCTGTTTCACTAGCCCAAATAGAAAGTGTTAAAATGCATGCAAAAAATGAGAAATAGTCACATCACCTTCCAATTCCGCTATTTAGACTGGTCAATTGGAAACGATTTAGCGGCTTTGTGAAAATGGCGAAATTTCATAGGATTTTGGTTACGAGAGATGCTTCCAGTCTTACCCAACCCTTTGTTTCAGGGCTCACTTTTCCCCGGGACTCATCTAATGTGGTCTACAAAGCAACAACACTGGCCCGGTGCATGGCTTCTGATCATTCTCTTGGAGTTCATTTACCATTCGAAAGATAGAGCTAATCTTTCCCTAACCTCTAATTCGCAGTAACTAGCCTATCGTCACGCAGTTGCTTCACTGTCCGTTCTCTGCGGTTATTGTTTTTCGGCGTTTGTCTCGATAGTGTCTCTTACTGTAACCTTTTGCCCGCCCATCCCGTACACGGGATGCTCTAGTCATCTTTATCCGATTTCGCTAACCGGATGTTGTTGTACTTCCCTACTCCAATCTTTTCCTCCCCGAACTGTCAAGTTGTGGCGCATTCACTTTCTTTTCTTCAGTTGACAACCTTACACTGTTTAAACGCATAATCAATAACAGATTTGAATATGGGTGTGGTTTGTAGCTCAGGTTGATGGTTTGTGGGGTCTTGTGTTCTCTGAGCTTGGCGTTTAGATCGCAAACGTTTCATCACCA